GACCTTAAAATTCAGGATTTAGAAGTGTCATCCAAGAAAGTGAGTCAGTAAGATAGGCAGATTTTTTAAGTACGCATGCTAGTTTCCCATTTGTTTGAACAAATTTAACCCAACACGCTATGAGATTTTTTGCTTTAACAATGAAGTTACAGAATTATTGCCGATTTATAAAACCAATTGATAAATAAATTAATATATATTATATATTGATGGAGAACAATTAAAATCCCTTTGGGTAATTTTTTCCGGAAAATTTTGGGTTGCATTTATGACAAATAATATTAAATACAAACTAAAATAGAAGACTACGAATTATGAAAATATGTCAAAATATTGAAGAACAGGACAAAGTTGCTTGATGCTCACGGGGCAAATTGTCTCTTTCTCTTACTTGGACAAAGTCTCTCATACTTCAAATTTTAACTCTTCATTTAAGAGAATTGAAGAAAATTTCTTGGACCATTAAATAAAACAAAAGATCCAAATTTTGAGCATTAGAATTTAGAATAACGGTGAAAAAAAGCAGCAGACACTCCAAATCTCTCCTCCTCATTCTTCTGATTCTCATTCTACTTTAGAGTTTAGGCTAATGAAGCCTCTTGAAGTGGGAAATACATCATGCCTTCATCTTGTTCACGACTTGGTAAAAATAGATATAAGATACTAGAAATTGGATCGCTTATTAAATTAGTTAAAATATTGATTCAAAAGTTAATAATCAAAATTAAATCATAGAGTTAAACTATAATAAACCGATCATAAATAAAATATTTTATTAAACGGTAAAAATTGATTTAACATTTACTAGTTTAATTGGACAGGTTATCCTAAACTTTCATATTATTCCCTCGAGACTATAATATAAAGCATCTTTTATAAATTTTGTCTGATCTAAAATATAAGGTATTAGATAATTTTTATATTTATTTTTTCAACCATACCCCCTACTTTATTTATTACTCTTTTTAAGAAAAATATGCATTGAAATTTCAATTATTATTATCAAGGCTCTTATATAAGATATTTAATAAAAATATAAATATAAAAATATAAAAATTTTTAAAAATTTAATATTTTAATTAATATTATTTTATAAATTATAAATTAATTAATTATAAATTATATTATGCTCTAGAGAGAGTATGAATTGACGCATCACAAGCTAGTTGCACACGAACAGGCCAAAATGGGCGCCGCATCCGTGTTGGACACGTGTCTTGAACACAGACGCGATGTGTCGGTTTTTCTGTTTTTTTTTTTTTATTTTTGTCAAAATAAGTCAACATGGGTAGGTGTAGGTCAACACAAGTGGGACCCATGACACTGCATTTTGGGCATTTTTTTTATTTTTTATTTTTAAAAACATGTGCCCTATTTTGCTCCAAGATCAATCCTTTCCTTTCGTTCTATCATCTCTCTCCCAAATCCGTCACGTCACTCTGTCTCTCCTCCACTACCGTCGTCACTTCGACCTTTCAGTGCCTCCTCAAATCCTCAATCACAGTACCGTGTCTTCTCTGGCCTCACCTCCGTATTCTATTGAGCGAGGTAAGTTCTTCTCCTGCATCTTCTCTGGTCACTTCATCTCCCATAGTTTAACTCTTCTTCCCCTTCTCACTTCCAATCATGCTCTTGTGTTTTGTTCTTACCTAAATCATGTTTGGTCTCAGCTATTCTTGCCTCAATCGTGTAGCCCTCTCTTCGTCCTATCATTTTACAGCCTATACCATCCTATATGTTATGTTAATGTTATTGATTATCATACTGTATTTTGTGATAGCAATAGACACCTTCAAATTTCACTACATGTTTTACTTTACATTGTTGACTTTATATATGAAGTTATGAAGTTATGTTTTATATGTGTGTATCTAAATATTTATTATTTAATTATTTATATAGTTGTACTCATATTCTAAAATTTTTAAAAATTATTATATTTTGATATCATGTCATATCATATTTGATACTCATATTCATGTTAGTTTTTCATAGTCAGCTATTGTTTTGGGGTCATTCTTTTTTTTTTTTTTAAATTCAGAATTTTCTCTTTGAATAGGATGTTTCTTGTCATTGAAGTTTGCCTTGAACATGAAAAGGCATTTCGAGAAACAAAAAATAAAGAGGGAATCACATTGTAGGCCTCAAAAGAGCAAAAATGGCACTGCAAGCTCAATATATTATGTTATTGCATTGCAAACCCAATGATCCTTGTCGCAATTTTTCTTGAAAGCAAAAGTACAATTTTGCCCTTGTATGATTTGAAAACTCAGATCATGCACAACACAATATCCATGCATGTTTAATTGATCAATAGGTTTAATAAAATATACAAGTGATACACACAATATACAAAACAATATTCATGGATACACAACATAATATTCATGTATTCTCACTTAAACGTCCATGCATAGACACACATGGACATTGTATTGAGAATTTATGAACATCATGTTGTGCATTCATGGACATCATATTGTGCATCCATGGATATTGTGTTATACATACCCTAAGTAACTTTATTTTAATTAACCTATAGATTAATTAAACATGTATGAATATTATGTTGAGAATTCATGAATATTGTATTATATATCTATAGACATTGTACTATACACACTCTATGTGATGTATATTTTAACTTTTGGCTCAACTAGACATGCATGAACATCGTATTCTGTATCTATAGATATCATATTGTACATTATCTAAGTTTTCAAATCATAAAAAGGCAAATCATACTTTTGCTCTAAAAAAAATTACAATAAAGGCCTTTAGACCTGTAGTATAAAATCAGAATGTATTGAGTTTAAAGTAAATTTTTTTATTGTTTTAAAGCTTGCAATATGATTCTCCCAAAAATAAGGAACGACAACTATACGTTAAAGTGCATAGAGTGGGTGGATGACAAGTTACCTTATCTACACATGGTATATGTCGCGACAGTGCATTGGGATCGTGACTTTGTAATTGCAATTGTGAGCAATGATATAAAAATCAGTTTGATTATTAAAACGATTAAAGTATTAGCTCATGTTCATGGTTAAATGATCAGATTATGGTTTGAATTGTAGTTCATATCATAAATAAATTAATATATTTTAAATATTATATTTTTAAAATGAAAAGAAATAATCATATGTAGTAATAAAACTAAATATTTAAATTTCAAATAAAATAATATAAAATAAAAAAGATAATATTCATCAATATTATATCATTTTCATAAAAAATATACATAGTTATTTCATAATTTATAATTTGAATGTATATATATACACACATAATTCATATATATTTCTTGATTATTTTGTTTCATAATGCTTATTAGCTATAACTTTGTACAAATTATAATTTAGAAATATGAATTACAAATAAAAAAAAGTAATATGTCCAATTCAACCGGTTTCTCACAACTTTTATCAGTTTAGACCGGTTCGAGATCAATTAGATCGATTCACTAGTGATACTCCATCTCTTGGTTTGGCCTTGCTTCAAAGACCAGCTACCTAGTTGGTTTCCAGTTGAATCAGCTGATCCGATCTAATTTTGATAAGTTTGACTGTAAGTATTACTATATCATATAGATTTTTAGTTTAATTATGAATTTCATACTAATGGTGAAAAAGACAGAAGTAAGTTTCAACTTAAATGACCCTCAACTTAGTTGAAGGAAGGAATGATTTGTAGATAAAATGCATGAAATTTGAATAATAAATAGAATATTTCTGTCACAAGGATAAGGGATTGGGGAAATTAAATAGGGAGAATGACATAAACAATATTACTTAAACTAAAATAGTTATTGATATTTATAATACTTAAATTTCAGTGATTACAAAATTTGAAAAATGAAATTTGTTATTTGTTACTACATTTTAGTCATTACTAGAAGAAAATAATTATTATTTAAATCAAAATAGTTACAGTACATTTTTTATATTTTAAATTAAGGTATTATAGTTATTTCACAAATAATGTTAATGTCAAAAAGATTCTAAGAGACTTGAAAAAAATTATTACATTGTAAGATTTTATTTTTTTTCATATTTCAAGGATTTTTTTAATCATTTTCCCTATTAGAAATTGAGATAGAAAAACAAAGAGAAAAGAAGAAGAAGAAGAAAATTATTAATTACATGGACAGACGTAATAGCTATGCAACTATCATAAACAATGATGAGAGGATAAACAACTAGTTAGGATTTGCCTTACAAGTCACATGATCATTAATGATCATTAATTTAAATCCTATTATCAATATAAAAAAATTTATTCATAGAATGATCTATAAATCCTTTTATAAGTAAAGCTGAGAAAACTTTGTCCAAAAAAAAAAGATGAGAAAACAAGTTAAGCTCATTTAAGCCTATTTAAGTGAAGGGTCAAGCTTGAATTTTAGGTCTTTCAATTTTTAATTGAGCTTAAATGTGCCAGCCTTAATAGGCTAAAAATAAGGTTAAGGTATAATTTTGTCCCTAAACTATTCTCGAAGGAGTAATGTTGCCGTAAACTCTTATTCATAGCAATGTTACCCTTAAAGTAATGAAATGAGAGCAATATTCCCCTCACCGTCAAACACACAAATGTTTGATCGTCTAAATGGTCCAAGAGCAGCAAGTTTGACCAGTCATTGCCATGTGACGTCCAACATGGATGAGTGGATTGAATAATCAAGGCCAAAGTTGTCATTTAGGCGAGTAGGAAATGCTGGAAGTCAAGTACCTTAACCCAAATACTGTAACCCATCTCAATTAGAAAGACTTGACAAGAAGCTCATATTGAAGGTATGAAGGATAATGAGTTGCTTGTGAGAATGAAGAGAGATTTGCTTGTGGCTTCTGAACATTGCTAAAGAAAAAAGGAAAGTAGAGGTTGTTCGTGTTGAGATATAGTAATGAATATCAAATCTTTAGGTTCATCTTTTGTTTTTTTTACTGTTTTGTTAATGAGAAATTGCATATTTTCCTTAGAATTTTTTATTTGTTCCCATACAAATGAATGATGATGAAGATAATCGAGGTGGGGCATATGAGGACATGGAACACAATGAAGCATCTAACGATGAATTAAAGAGTTCTATTGATGACAATAAAGATGGCAGCAGTGATGACAGTGTTGTGACCAATCTTTCCGAGGTATGTACCATAATGGAACATGCTAGTGATGTCTAGCTTTTTCATCATCATCGTTTGTTTAGTACAAGTTGTGTAGATGATTTAAAAACAGGGGAGGTAGGTAGTAGTGGGTTTGGTTGAGATTTACAGAAGGAGAAAAAAGTATTTAAGGATGACCCAATAGACATAAATGAATTTTAGGGTAACAGAGAAGAACTATATATCTTAGGGGACTTAGAAATTGATGAAGGGAGAAGAGATGTTATGCAAACAGAGGTTGGTGAAACTGAGTCACAGAATTTAAAAGATAATTTAGACTTTATGATTGGGTATGATAATGCTGACAATGATGGTGAGGCAAGTGAGGAAAGTAGCAATGAAGAAGAAGGTATGAGTGAGGGTGAAGAGGAATGTAGTGATGATGGTGAAGAAGGTAGTACTTCTACTGATGAAGGTTCTTATTACAATGACTTAGAAGATGAACTAAGTAGTGATGAGGGTTCTGATGGTAAGGGGTACAAAGAGGAGTTTGATAGGCCTATCAATGAGGTTAGAGGGCCTATTGATGAGAGTAGGCCTATATTTATGTTGGGTATGACTATAATGACAATGTGAAAGTAAAGAGGGCTCTTAATAGGTATGATATAAGAGAGGGTGTGAATGTGCAGCTTATTAGAAGTGAACCCAATAGGATTAGGGTAAAGTGTGAAAAGGGCTGCCTATTTATCATCTATGTAGCAAGAGATAAACGTACTTTAGGGTTTAAAATATGGACACTTTACATGGACTATAGATGTCTTAAGGTTTATAAGAATCAGGCAAGTGGATAGCTGACTACTTCAAGGAGAAAGTACAAGAGGCTATAGTATAAGGTTTCAAACATGAAAAAGGACTTGGAGCATGAGTAAAAGTTGAGTGTGAGTATATTCAAGTGTAAAAGGGCGAAGAGGATGATAATGAGTGAGTTGGAGGGTAGCAACAAAGATGAATATGCCAACCTTAAAGCCTTTTTTGAAGAAATTAAAATTAAAACTTCAATCCCCAGATATGATGTTAGTGTGGAGCTAAGTAAGGAAGGAGTGAAGAAAGGGAGAAGGGTATTTAGTCGACTGTATATTTGTTTCAATGCATCAAAGGTAATTCATTTTCTATTTTTTTGTAATCTGCTATGATTCCTATCACAGATTATATTCATTTAACCTTAAGATGGACTACAATTGCTACCTAAGGAATATGTGTTACGCCTAAAGAGATATTTTTATTTCTATTTCAAATGTTAGTCAGCAATAGGAATTAAATATAACCATTGATTGTTTTGAGTCCTTCAACACTGCATTGTTACACTTAAAATATTAGTTTTTGCCATTTTTACTTTGAGCTTTTTTTTTTCAATTATTTTGATAAGACTTTTAATATATTCACTGTTTACTTTTCATTCTCTGAATCCTTGAGTCTGTTAATTCCTATCTCTTTGTGGTATGGAGGGTTGATCAATTTTATACTCATCTATTTTCATATATCTAACATTAGTGTTTTATTTTAAGGTGGGATAGAAGGCTGGATGCAGGCCATTCACTGCCCTAGATGGGACATTTTTGAAAGGGAATGCTAGAGGCATTTTACTAACTACTTGCGGGCTTGATATTGATGATTCACTGTTCCTACTTGCATTTGGATTGATTGTACAAGAGAATACAATAAATTGGAGATTGTTTATATAGGGGCTTCACAAGTCACTAGAGCTTGGAAGTGGTAAAACTGTGACATTAATGTTAAATATGCAAAATGTGAGCATACTAACTTGCATATTGAATTGTTTATCATAATAAGGTTTTGATATATAGTGCAATGTTACTGTTAGATCTTATTATAGCTACTAAAGAGGTTCTTGCAAATGCTGAGTATAGGCTTTGTGCTAGACACATATACACAAATTATATTGGAGTAAGAGGTGGAGAGGAAATGAGTTGAGGAAAAAATTTCTTCATATGTGCATGGAGTACCTTTAAGGAATAGTTTAAGGATAATCTCAAGGCAATGGGCAATTTAAGTAAGAAAGCAACTGAGACATTAGTCTCTATCCCCACAAACATAGGTAAAGGCTTATTTCACTTGTAAATGTAAAAGTTGGGTAGTGGATAACAATACAAGTGAAAGTCCAAATGAATAGATAGATGAGCTTAGGTTTTATCCTATAATTAGGATGATAGATGGCATAAGATTGAAGATGATAAACAAATGGGCTGACATTGATAATCTAGTTGAGAAGTGGAAAGGAGATTACAATCTAAAGGCACTTATTTTATTTGATGAGAATAGAGATTTGGCAATGAGGTGTAGGGTTTATTTTAATAGAGATGAGGGTTATGAGGTGAGTGAGGGACAAGATTGGCATACTGCATCTGAATAAAAAGATATGCACTTGTTGACTATGGGATTTAACAAGAATCTCATGCTAGCATGCCATATGTGGTATGTACCACACAAAGGTTAACCCTTTCACCCAAATTTCATACTATTATCATAAAGACATCTATAAGGCTAGTTACAGAACCAAGTTTCAACTAGTATAAGGGAAATAATTCTAGAAAATTGACAACCTTGAGCTTATAAAGCCTCTTCAAACATCTAAGTTGCCTGGCAGACCAAAGAAGAAAAGGAAAAAGGACAAATGACAATAATGGGAGAAGGAAAAAGAGATTGGTAGAAAATGCTCCACAAGCATTGGTCTTACAAGGTTCAACAATAACAAACATCCCTATTCTCGAGAAATTATCCAAGAGAGAAATTACCATGAAATGCAGTATTTGTCACCAAGCTAGACATAACAAAACAACATGCAACAATGTAAGCTTGTTTTAATTATTTGTACAATTTATTAATTCAACATTTCTCTATGTTAATTCTGTACATTTTAGGTAGTACCTTCAACTTCAAACAAAAAACCTAGATAAAGAGGGAAAAAAAGGAGACAAACTCCTGAACCAAACACTTTTGCACCAACTGATAATGTCATCCTTACCCAAGAAAGCCAAGTAATTACTGAACCTGCATTAAGTCTTCAGAGTAGGACAATTTATAGACCTCAAACTAACGTTGGAATGGGCATTATAATAGATGAAATCACGAGAGGGACTGTATACAATGCAAGTTTTATTTTGTGAGTTATATTATAGTTAGATGAACCTGTACTATTGCTTTCTGACTTATATTATATATGTGTTTATATCCTGGACTTCCATCTTAGGTTGTGTTTGAGGAGGGAACGGCTAAAGAATATATGGTGTACTATAAAGACCTAAAAACTAGATTTCTATTCCCAATGAGAAGAAGATTAGGAAGATCACAGCCCAAACCAATACTTGACAAGCTGTAACTAGGAAGATTACTTTCGGTAGGGATGGTTTGAGTGTGTCAATGCCATCCAACCTTCCTTTCAAACCACCTAGACTTCGATGGCAAGGCCATAGTAGTATCTCTGGGCCATGGCTTGAGGCTCTCAGGTAGAAGAGGATTGGGTTGGAAAAGATAAAGTCAAGGAAAGGACACATTTAGATGAAACTTGAGGCCATAGCATTTTGTATTTTGGGGGTTCTTCTTGTTATTTTGAAACTTTTGTGGTCATGGTATTTTGTAATTATGATATTTGGTGTTAGTTTGGGTACTATTGACATACATATCAATGTATTGTTTCTTATTCATGTAATGATAGTCTAAGTTGTTTAGCTCTTATATTTGTTCAAGTAGGGTTAGTTTTGTGGCTTTGTAGCTTTTGTGAATTCAAAATAGATTTGAATAGCTCTTATGTCCTTACTCATGTTTTTTTTTTTTTGCATTTGCTTTTATTGAAAGTAATGATCAAGCAAACTAACAAATACCATTTGCTCTTATCCAGAGGAATAATTTCATTTCTTAATCAAGGAACCATTTTTCATTTTTTGAGCACTAATTCTTTGTGAATGGCATTATTCAAACTTAGCAAGAACAAAGATAACTTGTTCATTTACCAAAGGAAAATGCTATTAATTCCCAAATAAAAATCCTACTAATACATTCTTTGTGGCAGACCACTTAGTTCATTTACATAACAAAAAAGAAAACCTAAGAAAACAACAGCACTATGATAGCTATCTTAAGCTTCTTCCTCTTGTCTACTAGATCCATTTTCTTCCTTCTTTGTTCAAACTTCATATACTTTAACTCTTTGTAAATGTAATCAAGCTCTGCACTGAAGGCTTCAATCTTTATTCTTTGACTCAACATCTCATTCTCTATATACAATCTCTTAATGTGACCCACCAGCTCATTAATAACAATCTTCGACCTTTATCCTAAATCATTGTCATGGCATGCAAAGAAACCATAGCCATCTCCCTATCATGCCAAACATGATCGCATACCTTTTTAGACCAAAGAAGAGAACCATCAATACTTCAAAAGAAAAAACGTACCTAATAATATTTTTGAAAACCATAGAAGTGTTGCTCAGGATTACTCTTAGTCCAAGAAGTCCACCTTGTAGCCTCCATTCCACAATGACACAACTTTAGTTGACCTTCATATATTACCTCTCTATGTCCTTGCTTGAAAAAAAAAACCTCCTCCTTCTACTCTTACTTGTTGATGATGAAGCAGAATCACTTATTCAAGTTGCTTGCTGTTGAAACTTTAGGTCTCCACGCTGTCTACTACAAATCACAAACAAGCCCTTCCTCTACTACAAAAATAACCAACAATGACTTTTAATCACTCATCTACCTATTACCACATCCTTAACTGAAGTAATAACTCACTGCCACATGTGCTTCTATTAATGGATGTTATAGTGTGTTTGATGGTGAGGGGGACATTGCTCTCGTTTCATTACTTTAGGGGAATATTGCTACGAGTAAAAGTTTAAGAGCAACATTACTCCTTCGAAAATAGTTTAGAGGCAAAATTATACTCTAACCCTAAAAAATAAACATACAAGCCTTTAAGGTGAAGGGCTGGCATGTTTATATTTTTTTATATAAAAAAATTATTAATATGGAATAAACAAGGAGGGTGAGAATTCAAATATGAAAAAGTATTTTAAACATAAAAAAGAAAATTCTAGCCTAAATAGAGAGGAAATCTTGTTATTTTTGTAAGTGAAAATCCAACTCATGATGGATATTAAAGATGATAATGATTGATCATCATGATGATTCTTCTAATATTTGTGTTATTGTTTTATTAATATTTAGAGAACACTTGTTTAGTTTGTATAACTTTATTTGATTTTGATTTTGGGAAATTGAACAATGATTTTATATTTTAATTTGTAGATATTTAACATATTTTTTATAATTCATTTTATTTTTATATATTTAATTTAAAAAATTAAAAAAAAAGGTCTTAAAGCTCTCAGGCTGGCTTTGAGCCCATGCATATCAGAGTTGGGTTCTGCAAATAACGGCCTCAAAAGTGAAAGCGGGTTTTTCCGGGCTTGAGCCCATCAGGGATTCTTTGAATTCTATAAGCATTTGATACTTAACTCACCAATTTTTTACATAAAAAAAAAAAACGATAAGGAGAGGAGTAAGAGCATATTCATCGTGAAAATTATTTTTCTTTTTTAAGAAATGAATTAA